CCACCCATCCACTCATCCATCCATCCATCCATCGCGGATCATGCGCCTCGCTGCCCCCTTCCTCCCCACTTTGGCGGCGGAGCTTTGACAACTTCGGGGCAGCTTCATTTCATCACACGGTCTAGACAAAATGACTCTTTTTTTGACCATTAAAGTGCATTTATTAAGGGAAAAAACAGAGATATACTTTTGCTATAATGTTGAGCAAACAAATAATTGTTTTTAGGGGTTAATCTTGTTAAATTTCAAAGAAATGAACAACAAGTCCTCCCGTGTGCACTACCACAGCCGCCAGTCGATTTTTGAAATGAAGCTGTTTTGACCATTAAAGTGCATTTATTAAGGAAAAGTTAAACTGAGACACACCTTTGCTATATTGTCAGGTCAAACAAATAATTGTTTTTAAGAGTTAATCTTGTTAAATTTTTGAAGAAATGCACAGCAAGTCCTCCCGTGTGCGCTCCTGCAGCTGCCATTTGGCAGCCAATTGATTTTTGGAACAACACTGGTCCACATTTCCAGGAGTCAGCAGTGATGCATAATAAAAGTGACATACAGTGAAGTGACATATTTGTTTTTTCCACTTTATGAGACATTTTTGGACTGATGCGACTTGCATGCTGAAGCGACTTATACGGGAGAAAATACAGTATCTATTTATTAAGCTGACAGAGCTGACAGGAAATTCGCAAATAATCCTGAAGCTTCCTGAAGCTCAATTATCCATGTGCACATCAACCTGGATGGGGCAGTGGGCTTCGTTGCTGAAGGGTAGGTCTGCAGAACCAGAACCAAGCCCGACCAGAATCAAACTGCTGCTCTGCAGAGCTGGTGAGTACAATTTTGCAGTACTGTACAGTACATGGGCAGCACGGTGGCACAACTGGTAGAGCTGCTGCCTCTCAGCGAGCAGGTCCCTGGTTCAAACCCCGGTCCAGGGGCCTTTCTGGGTGGAGTTTGCATGTTCTCTCCGTGCATGCGTGGGTTTTCTCCGGGTACTCCGGTTTCCTCCCACTGACCAAAAACATGCATGTTAGGCTGATTGGTAACTCTAAATTGTCCCTAGGTGTGAGTGAGAGAGTGAATGGTTGTTTGTCTCGTTTGTCTCTATGTGGCCTTGTGATGGACTTGCGACCCGTCCAGGGTGTACCCCGCCCCTCGCACAGTGATTGCTGGACATGGGCACCAGCGACCCCCGTGACCCAAAATGGAACAAACGGGTAAAGATAATGGATGGATGGATGGATGTACAGTACATATATGTATGTTGTTAAAATGATGTAGGTTTAAGAGTTTAGAATATTGCAAGAGTGTGGGAAGGGTTTATAAAGCCTTCAAATATATAAATATTAAAATAAATATAGTGTTCCTACTTCATGGTTTGTCACCTATCACAGTGGTGTGGAACGTAACCCCTGCAACAATCGAGGGACTGCTGTAATGCAAACAAATGAAAAGCAGATAACGAGAGAGTGTTTGTGCTGCGCTCCAGCAGACTCACGGTCACGGGTGAGTCATCTGTCTGGAGGATATGTCACTGTGTGTTTTCACTCTGACCTTTTAGCAGCACATTTTCGGACGCAACCCCTCGAGTGTCAAAGCCTGTGTGCTCACTCCACAATCTTGTTTTCTTCCTTCATTAAACCGAGGATAAACACTGCTTTCCTAAAATGATTCGCATCGCTCGCACTTAATCAGCGCTGCTACTCCAGATGATCAATTCAGCTCATCTCAATTAAATTAAGTTTTGGATTGAATCATCAGGCGCTCGTGCCTGGCATGTGTCCTGGAGAGAGCCCCCATGTTGATCCCAGTGAAATGACTCATTCTGTCTTCCTCACAGTCATGGCTGTCAGTCAGTCACACGCTCATCCAAACTACCCTTCAGCGGTGCTGCCAAAACTGGACTACGGTATCTAAAAAAACTCTTTAAGCAATCTCCCAGCTTTATCTTACACATGTACTTATTACGTACTGAGAAGCAGGCAATAATGTCTTTGCTCGATTCTGTTTTTAAGCCTGTATGTTTGTTTGTATGGTTAGCAAAATATCACATCGTGAACGGGGTGAATTTTAATGAAACTCTTAAAAAGTCATCAATAAATGTTCACCTACAAGTCAATAACCTTTTGGAGTCAATTCAATTCAAGATGGCCACCACAGCCTATTTACTGTACTTGAGCAAACATAAAATGGTTGTAAGTTGGTCATTGCAACACATACTGTGAGGACTAATTTAATGCATGAGACCTCACGTTTACTATTAATATTTACTATTTTTGTTATACAGTATATGTTCTTCCATCTGGTACTCCTTCAGGGGTCTCCACAGAGAGTCATCCTCCTCCATCTCACTCTGTCCTCTGCATCCTCTGTCCTCACTCCAACTACCTCCATGTCCTCTCTAACTGCATCAATATATCTCCTTTTGGTCTTTTTTCCTGGCAGCTGCATTTCTAACATCCTTCTACCAATATACCCACTGTCCCTCCTCTGGACATGTCCAAACCATGGTAGACTGGTCTCTCTATTTTTATCTCCCAGTTGTTGAACCTGTGCTGTACCTCTGATGATCTCATCCCTAATCGTATCCATACTTGTCACTCCTAAGGAGAACCTCAACATCTTCATTTCTGCCACTTCGTTTTTTTTCTCCTGTCTTTTTGTAATTACCACTGTCTCCAGACCGTACAACATACGTGGTCGCACCATCCATCCATCCATCCATCCATCCATTATCTTTACCCGCTTCTTCCTTTGTGGGTCATGTGGGTTGCCGGTGCTCATGTCCAGCCATCACTGTGGTGGGGGACACCCTGGAGAGGTCTCCAGTTCATCACAGGGACACAGGGACACAGAGACAAACGAGACAAACAACCATTCACTCTCTCACTCACAATTTAGAGTTACCAATCAGACTAACATTCATGTTTTTGGTCTGTGGGAGGAAACTGGAGTACCTGGAGAAAACCCACGCATGCACAGAGATAACATGCAAACTCCACCCAGACAGGCCCCCGGATCAGGATTTGAACCAGGGCAACCTGCTCACTGAGAGGCAACAACTCTACCAACTGTGCCACCGTGCTGCCTCTCTGGTCTCATCACTGTCTTGTAAACCTTCCCTTTGCTGCCACTCTTTCGTCACAAATCACTCCTGAAACTTTTCTCCATCCTGTCTGGACTCTTCTTCACCTCTTTATCACACTCCCCATTTTCCTGGACAGTGGACCCCAAGTATTTGAAGTCCTGCACCTTTGTGACCTCTGCTCCTTGTAGCCTCACTGTTCCACCAGCCTCCCTCTCATTTTTACATGTGTACTACTTTGTATATGTTATATGTTTTTTCATGTTGCAACCAAACAGCAATAACTGTCATGTGTCCACATAATGGATAAGCACACAGTCTTAGCTGAAAACCCTGTAAAATAAGTAGACAAACAACAATATTTCTATTTCTACATTCAATGAATATTTTTTTTACCAGCTATTTTCACCTTGGGGGTCTTTAAAGTAACAGAGAAAAGGACTGCTGACCTACCAGGGAGGTATTTAAACAGGATTATCCAGCTACCATATCAGTGAAGGAGGATTAGGACGACACGTCACTTGACTTCATAAGGCCTGTCAAATTAAAGAGATGCAGCTCTCCGTCATGTTTAGCAGCCAAACATGGCTTATTATGAGCAGTTTGACTCATTCGGATGCATACTGTTCCCTGGGTTCTTGAAACAGTTCCCAAGGTGAGAGTTACTCCTAATTCAACAGCGTTTCACTCGCTGCACAATCAGACTGACGACGGAGCTTCTGACATTAAAGTGCCTCTCCATGCTGAAGTATTTTGGTGCCGGTTCCTTCTTCTAAATATTTGAGCTCAATCAAACGGACTGGGGAGTAAGACTTTAACCCCAATCATCAAGTTTCTGCCCCCTAACTTTAAAATATGCACTGTATGTGCTATAACCCAAGTTTGAGACTGTTTCTAACATTCACTTTTGAAAGTAAAGATTCAATACACTGCTAACTCTAAAGAATCCTGAATTGTTTTCACAGTAACACTGCAGACACTAACATTTCTGAGACATTAACTGACAGAGAATTGCAACCAAACACAGATATGTTTAGAACAGTTCCAATTTAGTGAGATCCCACTGAGAATTTAGACAAAGTATAGAAAGAAAGAGATCTAAGTGTATAAAGGAATGGTTTTGATTCAAAGTTTCTGCTGGTCACTCATAATCAAGTACAGAAATAATCAGGTGTTGAGTGTAAATAAAAATGTTTTAAAACAGGTTTAATTACCTTAAGTCGCTCGTTTTTTTGTACTCTGCAAATGCAACGAACTGCTTGAAGATAACTGCACTGAACAAGCTGTGGTACGTGGGAATTTTAGGCCCTTAATTTTAATGCCTGGTTGAGCTTGTGCTGCAACTAATTGTGCAGAGAATCCACATCAGGTAGACAGGCATTACTCAATAAGAGGAAAAAAGAGCAAAATACAAATATGTACCTTTAAAGAAGGGCACCTTGAAAATGGATATGAACAGATCACCCTCCACTCCACCAACAAAAGGGGGTGAATTTGCACTGAACACTAAATCACAATCAGTAACTTTGATTGTCTTTTATAGCAACTGGGATTTTATTTCCAAAATTTTGAATAAAATTACAAACTATGCCTTTTTTTTTTCCCCAAAATTTGACATTAAAGATATATTTTGGGTGAGAAAAAATTGATTTGAACACAGTGGTCACTACAAATTAGCTTTAAAAATAATAATTGTTGACCTATGTTTAGTACAAACAACAAAAATTAATGTCATCTTCTCAACTTTGACACCAACCGATATTCAACATGTTTTCAACTTCACAGCTATTGAGCTTGTGGTTTGGTTTTTATCTTTCAATATTAATCAAAACAATATTAAATATTGACACAAACACTAAACATGTATAGCTCTTCCAGCTTTATGTGGAGTTGGCTGGGTCTCAGTTCTTACCTTTACAAAAGCCCAGTTTCCACTGTCAATGTGCCATCAGGGGGATCAGGCTATGACCTGGGAAGAACTCAAAACCCATCTTCCACAGTGCGGGGTCTTCAGCTCAGGCAGAGGTTTGTACAAGAGCTCAAAGCTCCTCATCGATGAAGAAGAGCCCCCATGACAGGCTGGAACCCGAGTGTCTTCTGAAGGCTTTAATATACGCGGTGCGCGTCTTTACGCTTCATGGAGAGTAGTACGGCGCGCGCACAAGTCGAGGGCGGAGAGCCACGCTCATTACAATCAAAGGAAATCCCTTTTCTGCCTCATTCTGCTTCTTTAAGGTCGTACCCTGTGACTCCACGTCGGAGGAGCAGTTCCTCGTTGAGCTGGAGGAAGCGGGAGAGGTGACGTCTCCACCGGGTCACCGAATGCGTAAAACTCCAAACGCTCCTCGCGCCCCAAAACAACTTGATTTCAGGTCCAAACAGGCGAACGGTCATTAAAACGTGTTTGAGGAAGGAAGAGGCAGCTGGACGATGAATTAAAAAAAAAAAAAAATCCTGTGAGAATAGAGCGGGTTTTTGTTTACAAAGAACCGCAGAGAGACGCAGCTTCAGTTGCTCGCGCGTCTCCACTCGTGGGAATGTAACAAAAAAGGAGAGAGAGAGAGAGAGAGAGAGAGAGAGAGCGAGAGAGAGGGGAGGGGGGGATGATGGATGGAAGAGGAAGGGGGTTTTGTATACATGCTCAAGGAGTTGTACGTGTGTGCATTATTTTGTATAGTGTGTGTGTGCGCACGCGCGTGCGCCCGTGCGCGTGCGCGTTAAGTGTATTTTGTATACGACTTAAGTGCATGTGTGTATGTGTGGAGATTCCATGTAACGGGGACAAATAATGAAAAAGCCCAGAAATAAAGACAACTAAACAAAGTATTGAAACGTTTCGCCTTCCATCCAGAAGGCTTCATCAGTAAAGGAAACACACAACACAAAACTGATTCTTCCCCCAACAGCTTACTCCAAAGTGGAACAAACCAGTTATGTTGGTGCTAAGATGGTCCCTTTGTCACGCCCCCTCCTCCATTGCCGGCCCTCTTCCTTGTTGACAGTCATGTCAAACTGGTTGAAAACAACAAAGTCCATGCTCAATAATCCAGGTATAAAATCCAACATTTTTCAGTCAGGTCATCTGGACAGTTTCTTTTTTTGTGCTGAAAAATGATTGAGCATGGACTTTGTTGTTTTCAACCAGTTTGACACGACTGTCAACAAGGAAGAGGGCCGGCAATGGAGGAGGGGGCGTGACA